ATTATCGGCAATTAAATGAAGATTTGTACATGAATCACATCGAATAATTACAACTCCTTTTTCAAATAATTAACAAGTAAAAGTTTTTTGTAAATGTATGGTTACATACTATACAACGAAATTGAATTCCCATTCGTTTAGATTCTTCTCCTTGATTTATATTAGCTAAAGGAATTCGAGATTGTTGAATATTATCATTGGATTGTGATGAAATATTACGAAGAAAATAACGATAATGATGAGTAATAACTTTCGAAGGATGAATTGTTATTCTATTAGTTGATTCAAGACGTGTTAATGTAAGACCAAACATGTATTTAAATTGTGTTGGATACTGAAATGTTGAAATAGAATAAAGTAGCTTTACAAACTCATATTGATGCGACTAGGATATCCGTGCAATGAAGTATTTCATTGGTTTTATACATTAGAACGAATCAAATTAGTGTTATTATGGATGGTGCGATTGTTCATTTATTATAACAATATAATCTAGAATGGAAAAAACTTTTAAAATGAGAATCTACTAGACAAAATCTAAGTTGCAAAAATATATAAATCATAAGAAATATAGAAAGCTAAAATAGATATCTGGTAGACTTTTTATTAAGACAATAATACTATTCTTCCTTTGTTTTACAATACAATAATGAAGATTTTCATAGATGTAAATAATATTGAGAAAATTTCAAATAAAAATCAAAGATAAGCTCTTAATTAGTTAGAGATATTATCATATAATTATTAATGAACTCTGCAAAATAGAATTCGAAACGTTAATAATTGATTTTAAAGTTTTGTATTTTTATATTTCAATGAATATCATCTTAGAATCTTCCGTGATATTATATTGAATAAACTGTTATTAAATATTTAGCTTAATACATGATGGTCATAATAAGATCCTTTTTCTGAGTTATTGATGCAGTTTAAAATACAACTGTATATCAAAATAACTTATTAATAGAAAATTTTAATAGTACGTTTTACGCTTTTTGTAAGAAAAAATAATTTAAAAGTAAATCATTTATTCTTCGATAATTACTTTTTTTATTTATTACATTTCCAAGTTCTTACACACAAAGGTCACTTCGCTTGAATTCTTGTGCATTATTATTCTTTGGTTCTTCAAGAACTATAATCTTATATTAATAATATCTCGTCTAAAACGATTGTATAAAACTAATCATCATCTTTTGGTGGTGCTTTTTATTCAAGTTATTCTTCTTGTTTTATTAGTTATTGTATTATCTACCGGAAAATTTTATTCAATATTTACACTAAATAATGATAAATCGAGTATTCCTATAGCGACTGAAAATATGATTTACAATTTTGTTCTTCTTCTTATTTATTTAACAAATAGAATTTCATTTTATGCTTATATTCGTAATGGCGGACATGTTTTTCGACAAAGTTAATTGATACAGAAAATAATATGAAGATATAACAATTTAAAAAAGCTAGAAATGATCTTGACGTGAACATGTTCCATTAGTGGAAAAATGATGAATACAGTTGGCATCACGAACCACAATCTTTACTTGGCGAATTTTAGCAATTAATTTTGTAGCTTGATCTAAACAAAAGCAAATTTATAGATAAATAAAAATTATAGAAAAAAGTCGTGTAACTTACGACAATCACCACAAACGCGAAGATTTTCTGTAATTTGAATAAATGATGGTTTTCTTCCTTGAATAAAATGAAAGGCAATTGCAAGTCTTTCACTATGAGAACACAAAACAGATTGAATTGTTTCAGTTTCAGCTAATGGACGCGTGATCCAGCTTGAATCAGATTTATGTCCATGTTCAGTAAGTTCACATGATATACGATCAGCTTCAGCATAAATTTCTTTTGATAGACGATGAGATTGATCATGGGCTGTAAATTGCTAAAATAAATAAATAAATAATTTTTTTCTAGAGAAATTTCTTACTGCTATTTCACCATCCTTTTCAGTCATGCTAAGCCAGGTTGAACGTTTTTTCCTACTTGTTTGATTCGATTTAATCGAATATGTTGTGCTTCTTCATAATTTCCCAATGAAGAATAAATATTGGATAAAAGAATTGAACCTGATATTAAAGTATCTTTTTCATTTTGAAATAATAATTTCATTCTCTCATAGATTTTTTCTGATACAATAGAATTACGAGAATTACGTGCACCAGATAATATAGCCACTAAAATAAAAAACAAAAAAAACTAATTTAATATAAAAAAGAAAAACTTAATTACTATACATAGCTGAACAAGGTGGATTAGATGTCTCATAATCTTCGATTAATTTTTGTGCTTCGTCAAATAAAAAAAGACGACTTAAACAATCAATCTAAATTTAAAAAAAAAATGTTCATATTTAACATAAAAGAATTAAATAAACAAACCATTGTGGTAATAATTTTTGCTGTTTTATGATGAATCTCATTGAAGATTGAATAAGCTTCATAAAGAAGACCCGAATGAGAACATGCATTTAATACACAAATATATAAAATTTCATCATGTAAACTATTAGATATTTTTCGATATAAATCAGTAGCTTCTAAACCCATTCG